ACCTCTTAATAGGGCTACTCCCTATAAAGATGTGGGGACTTTTCAAAAAACTACATTTAATGTAACATCAATTGCAATAATATTAGCAGTTAAGTGTTGTAAACTATATCTTCAGATTTAACTCATGGGACATTAAACATTCCTCAAACAACTTTGATATGAAGCCCTTTGGACCCTAGAAGAGTATACTCTGACCTGAAATAACAGGTCATTCTTCAATAACATATTCCTGAGAGGACCAGGGGGATGAAAAAAGAAGAGGAAAATTTGTTATCAGGAGGTACTGAACAAGCTAATGGCTCATGTAAACAAGTTTATTAAGAAATACAGCATCTTAAGCTGGGCATTGATGGCACACGCCTTTAATCTCAGTGCTCTGGAGGCAGAGGCAGGAGGATCTCTGTGAGTTGGAGGCCATCCTGGTCTACAAAGCTACACAGAGAAACCCTATCTAGAAAAATCAAAAGAAAAAAAGAAAAGAAATACAGCATCTTATATACAGGTTTTTAGGGCGTTATGGGGCGGAGTCAGCAGAAAGCTATTGTACAATGAGATATTGCACAGAGAAAACACAGGATATCTCAAGTGTACCACAGACCTAGCACTCAGCTCTGTGGCCTTGGGACTAATAAACACAAACACAGCCGGCTCTTCAAAGCCAGGCAGAGGATGAGGAGAGAGGGAGTGGGCATTGTTGAGTTTCTAGTATCCAAAAGTTGAGTTCTCAGGATATGAAACAGCTCCTGTGTATCAGGCTTTCTTTGGCCACCAACCAGCTCCCAAATCAAGACACTGAGACTAATTATGAATACTTGGTCTTAGCTTATGTTTGTCCCACTAGCTCTTAGAACTTAATTTGTTTCTCTTCATCTATGCCTTGCCTCAGGACTTTTTACCTTTCTTTCATTCTGTACGTCCTACTCCTTGTCTGGTTGACTGGCTGCTGCCTGGCTGGCTGGCTCCAGATGTTCCTCTTGTCTTCCTTATTCTTTCTCTCTTTCTCATTCTCCTGAATTTAGATTTCTGTGCCTCCTCTTTATTCTCTCTGCCTGCCAGCCCTGCCCTATCCCTCTACTGCCTAGCTATTGGCCATTCAGCTTTTTATTAGACCAATCAGGTGCCTTAGGCAGGCAAAGTAAAACAGCAACACATCTTTACATTGTTAAACAAATGCAGCATAAATAAATGTAACACACCTGTACATAGTTAAAGTAATATTCCACAGCACTGGTGGGTAAGGGTCCTGGTCCCAGGCCACTACTGGTCTTACCAAGCATACTCTGGATTCTACCTAAGGAACTAAGTTCCTTCTCCATACATCAGGGCTTAGGGAAAGTCCAGGACCAGCCTAACTCTCAACAAAAGGAAGATTCAGATGCTGGTCATTGGAGTTGTAAGATTTGGTATTTTCTCTGATTAATTTAATTGTGCTTTTCAATGGTCATTTATTTTCTATGATGTTTACTTGGTACTATAACATAGTAAATATAACTTGCTATGATAATCATTCAAGTTTACAATTAAGAGATTTGAGACTGTCTTTGGGGTTTTGGTGTTGTTGGTTTTTTTGGTTGTTGTTTTGTTTTGTGTTGTTTCTTGATGTCTTTGTTTTTGTTTTTGAGACAAAGTTTATCCATTGGTGTTCTGAGTTACATGGGACAGGAGAGACACTGCAGGAAGAACCAGCCTCTGGTGGACTGGCTCTTTTATTGTTTGTTACACAAAAGGCCTTTTAGCAAATCAATTACTGCATACCAAAATCTCTTAGCTAATCTAGGAATTATCTGAAGGAATCATTACCTAAGCAAACACAGTCATTATAAGAATTCCAGGTTTGCCAGGAATGTTGTATGACTGAGGTCATGCTAAGGTTCTGAAATTCCCAAGCAAAATCAACCCCATAAATCTCAAATAACAATCACTGATTATATATAAGAGATTACTTCAGGGCCTAAGTAAATGCCAGGTGCAACAACCCTTCTAGTTTTCCTCTACATTTATTTATGTGGCCCTGGCTGTCCTGGAACTCATTCTGTAGACCAGACTGGCCTCAAACTCAGAGATTCCCCTGCCTCTGCCTCCTGAGTCTTGGGATTAAAGTCATACACCATCATACCAAGCTAAGATTTGAGATTTTAAGTATTCGGATTTTTAAGGATTTTTGAGGGACATGGTAGATTATATTTATAGTATGAAAAAAAATGAGACTTAGGGGACAAGGTTATAGTTCTTAAGATTTATTTTTATTACTTTAAAAATATTTATTTATTTGAGCTGGAGAGATGGCTTAGTGGTTAAAAACATTAACTGCTCTTTCAGAGGACTCAGGCTCAATATCCAGTACCCAAATGGCAGCTACCAACTGTCCTAAAGTACAGTTGCAGAGCCAATGTCCTCTTCTGCACTCTATGGGAATGTGCAGAATATATGTATGTATAGAGAAATATATACAATATATGTATAGGGAAAACACTCATACACATAAAAGAAACCTCTTTCAGATTGTGTGCATCTTAGCATCATTCTTATTTAAAAAAAAAAAAAAGTTTATTTGCACACATCCTTAATCCCAGCACTTGAGAAGCCAAGGAAGGTGGATCTCTGTGAGTCTGAGGCCAGCCTGGTCTATGCAGTGAGTTCCAGGCCAATTAGAGTTACATGTTGAGACCTGTCTCAAAGAACAAAATATATATTTATATATGCATTGTATATGCTTGTGTGCATATGTTACAAGATATTTTTTAAAGATTTTATTTATTTATTATGTATACAACATTCTGTTTCCATGTATATCTGCACACCAGAAGAGGATACCAGATCTCATAACGGATGGTTGTGAGCCACCATGTGGTTGCTGGAAATTGAACTCAGGACCTCTGGAAGAGTAGTCAGTGCTCTTAACCTCTGAGCCATCTCTCCAGCCCATGTTGCAAGATATTTGTGTTGTGGAATATTTGTTTACATTGTAAAGATGTGTCTTTGCCAAGGTGCCTTCTGATTGGTTTAATAAAGAGCTGAATGGTCATTAGCTAGGCAGGATATATAGGCGGGACTTCCGGAAAGACAGAGAGAGGAAGAGGAATCTAGGCCCACAGGAGATGCCAGGAGACACAGAACAAGTCAGAGGTACAGAAGGAAAGAAAGGTAAAAAGCCACAAGGTAGAACATAGATTTAAAAATATGGGTTAAATTTAAGATATAAGAGCTAGTTAGGAACACGCCTAAGCGATAAGCCAAGCTTTCATAATTAATGTAAGTTTCCATGTCATTATTTAGGAGCTGGCTGGCAGGACAGAGACAGACTCATTACATATTTGATCACACTATATGAAGATGTCTGTTTTACCTCAGCTGCCTAAGGCACCTTCTGATTATTTTAATAAAGAGCTGAATGGCCAATAGCTAGGCAGTAGAGGATAGGCAGAACTTCTGGGGAGAGAGCGCTCAGGGGAAGAATCTGAGTGGTGGGTAGTTCACCAGACAGACTCAGAGGAAGCTGGACATAAAGTACTGAGGGGAGGTAATGAGCCTCATGGCAGAATGTAGATTAATATGTTGTGGAGCAATCTTTATGTACTGTAAATATCTATTACTCTCATTGCCTAACAGAGAAGTCACTGGCCTATAGCTGGGCAGGAGAGATTGGGCAGGAGAGCCAGACCAGGAGAATTCTGGGAAGAAGAAGGAGTGAGGATTCAGAAGAGTTGCCAGGAGACTCAGAAGGAGCAAGACCTGCTGGAGGATAGGTAAAGCCATGAGCCAGTGGCAGTACATAGATGAATACAAATGGGTTAATTTAAGTTGTAAGAGCTAGTTAGGAACAATGCAAACTAAGGCCAAGCTTTCATACCTAATTCGAAGTCTCTGCATCATTATTTGGGAGCTGACAGTCCAAAGAAAGACCTCCTACATGCCTACATAAGATTGTTGTTTTTTAAAATGCCATATATGTGTAAAGCTGGCAAGGGTGAATTACTATGGCTGGTTTTAGGGTCAATTTGCACAAATTAGAACCACCTGAATAGGTAGCCTCACCTGAAGAACCTTCCTTACTTGAGAAGGCAGTCCTTATTGTGGGTGGCACCTCATGCTAGGAACCAAGATTTTAAAAAGGCATGTAGCAGGCTTTCTTTTGGGCCACCAACCAGCCCCCAAATCATGACACAAAAATGTATTATTAGTTACGAATGCTCAGCCTTAGCTTATGCTTGTCCCACTAGCTCTTATAACTTAATTTAACCTGTTTCTCTTCATCTATGTTTTGTCACAGGGCTTTGGGGGGGGCAGGCAATTTCGAGACAGGGTTTCTCTTTGTAACAGTCCAGGCTGTTCTGGAACTCACTTTGTAGACCAGGATGGCCTCGAACTCACTGAGACCCACCCGCTTCTGCCTCCCGAGTGCTGGGATTACAGGCGTGCACCACCACCACCACCACTGCCCAGCTTGCCTCAGGGCTTTTTACCTTTCATTTTGTGTGTCCTATTCTATGGCTGGCTCGCTGGCAACTGCCAGGCTAGCATATGCCTTTCTTTCTCCCTTGTTCTCTTCTCTCCTACTTATTCTCTCTGCCCACCAACCCCACCCAGTCCTCTACTGGTAGTAGAAATATTTCTAACTGGCCAAAGGATGGAACCATCTGATACCACACAGACCACAGAGAGATGAGTTCAGACTCAGTGTTGTCCTTGATCAAATGGAAAGTAACACATAATTAAACAAATGTAGCATAAACAAATGTAACACACCTTTACATAAAGTAATATTCCACAACAAAGGCATTTCAGAAGTTTCTCCTCGTCTTTTGTTCTTTGCTTTTACCAGTATCTATACTACATCTCTGTGTGTGTGTGTGTGTGTGTGTGTGTACTCATCACCTTGGTTCTGTTCCTGTTGAGAACCCTGACTAAAACAGTACTCTACCAACTGAATCACATCCCCAGCCCAGGCCACACACCCCCACCCTACCCTGGCTTTTTTTTCCTAGAACACAATCACTGGGGAGGGGAGCAAGTGTCAGGTTTAATCTATATGAATCTTTACAGGCACTTTTCTTTTTTACAAGTTTACAAAGGATCCTTGAGAAAAGTCAAAGTGATATAATTCATTTCCCAAGTCTTGACTTAGTTGCTTCTTAGTGCCAAGTTCATGTTCTGCTCCAGATGCAAGCAGCTAGCTATTGAGCTCACCCACACTCCTCAAAGATGTCTGGATAGTGCCGAAAAAGCACTGGTGGATCCCAGTCACCTCGGACTGGGGCTCCAGGAACAGCCCGGATCCCAGGCCTACGGCCACGGCGTCCCCCTGAGCAGGACCGGTGGATCCATTTGTGAGTTTCCACTGCGAACTTTCTCTTGAAGCGCATGCCGCACTCTGGGCAGGGGAAGGGTCGCTCACCCGAGTGTGAGAGCCGGTGGTTGACTAGTAAAGAAGGGTAGGTGAAGCGGCGCCCACAGTCCACACACACATGGCGTCGCTGATTGGCCTGCACATCTGTGCTGGGTACCTGGGCAGGAAGCTGTGCATCAGCCATCTGGCCTGGGAAAGCTTCCATAGGTAGCTGTACCTCTGCAGAGGACTTGGTAGTCGTGGAATAAGTCTTATGTTCAACCACCTCTTTAGATTGCAACTGAGCAGGAGTCTCTGCTGACCTCTCTGGGCCCTGCTCCTTCTCATTTGAAGTGTCTCCTGGGAAACAAATTAATTATATTTTAAGACTCTCACTAGGAAATAGCTGTAATCCCAGCATTTGGAAAAGCTGAAGCAGGAAGATAGCTATGAATTTGAGACCAGCAAGTGAGACCTTGTCTCAGAAACCCAAAACAGGACAGTAGGGCATGGTAGCTGCTCATCTGTAACCCTAGCTCTTCAGAGGTAGAAGTAGGTAGATTTCTGTGAGTGTGAGGACAGCCCTATCTAAAGAGCAAGTTCCAGGCTAGCCGGAACTACAAACATAAAGCAGGGGCTGGAGAGATGTCTCAGTGCTTAATATCGCTTGCAGCCTTTCCAAAGGACCGGAGTTCAGTTCCCAAAACTCACCCACATCAGGCAGCTCATAACCATCTGTAACTTCAGCACCAGGCAACCTCATGACTGTTGCCCTCCTTGGGCAACTGCACTCATATCCACATAACCACCCACAGACACATGCATTTACATGGAATGAAAAATAATAAAAATCTTTAAGAAACAAGTTGGTGGCGCACGCCTTTAATCCCAGCACTTTGGAGGCAGAGGCAGGAGGATCTCTGTGAGTTCGAGGCCAGCCTGGTCTCCAGAGCGAGTGCCAGGATAGGCTCCAAAGCTACACAGAGAACCCCTGTCTTGAAAAACAAACAAACAAGAAACAAGTTTCAATAAAACATAACACTTTTACTATCCTAGCTTTTACCCAGGTAGTGCTAAAATATACTGTTCAGTGACTAACACAAAAGCTTTGTTGAAAATCAGTTAAAATTTCATGTGTCAAATGGAAAATAATGGTTTCTTGACGTCACAGGATTATTGGGAAGATTTAATACATATGTGCTTGTTGATAACTTAGTAAATGCTCAGGAAACAGTAGTTACTGTTGTGTTTTGGGGGTTCCTTTTGTTGTTGTTGGTACAGTGGTACTTTTACAGATGAGGTACCATATTTGCTTCAGATCTCTTCGATTCAGGGTAACATTGGGAGAGGAGCCAAGCTGTCATTACACGGGCATTTTTCTCATGTAACACTTTGCCTTGAGAAATATGATAGGCAGACCTGAAACCAGTTCAATTTTTAGGGTCATTTTAGGTTATTTCGGGGGAGGGAGTACTGAGACAAGGTCTCACTTTATGCAACCTTGACTGGCCTCAAATCCACCTGCCTCTGCTGAGAGTGCTGGGATTAAAGGTGGGAGCCACCACGACCAGCCTTAGTCGGTTTTGAAACGGGAGAAATGAGCAGCAGTATTTAACAAACATGTGGAAACCTAAAAGTTCTTTGGTCTCTAGATTTTCCTACTCTGTTCTTAACGGGACTGCTCTTCAGAGTTTCCAAAACTCTTAACAGGTCGGCTCTTTCCTTTAGTATCCGACACATGTTGATTCTTGAAATTCTGTAGGGATGCTGGAATGGGGAATCTGAAAAAAAAACTTTACTAGAGAAGAAACCCCGTACAAACAAGATGCAGGAGGACCTGGGACAATCCCTCACCTCTCAGAGCTCCTCCCAGACTTTCCCCCTCCGCAGGATCCTGGGCGGCGGGGCTCCAAGCCTCACTCTCCTGTTCCATCCAAGAGATGAGAGCTGGTTTGGGGCCCGGGAATCCTGGGAGAGAACAGGGGTCACAGTGCTGGTCTGAGCGACTGGCCCGGGCAGATAGCATCCCACTAGGGTGAGGGCACCTCCTCGGAACCTATGCTCAAATCAACCAGGGCCGGGTTTGCGATGCTCTTGCCTGAATGGAGACTCCCGAGGAGCCCTAGGAATGGAAGGTGACTGATGCTGCTGGTGGAAAAGTGCGGGATTAGGGCTCACAATCCACTTGGTCGGTCTACAGCATCTCCCATGTGAACCCCCGAGGAGGATGGGGGGTGGGGGGCAGGGCTCTGACCCGGGGCCTCACCGAGCGCGCCCAGGAGGCCGTAGGTCTCGCGCATCACCTCCCGGTACAGGGCTCTCTGCGCGGGCCGCAGACAGCCCCACTCATGCGGGGAGAAGTACACGGCCACGTCCGCGAAACTCACGAGCTCAGGCTTCCTGAAATCAGGACAGATCTCGGCGGGCATCGGCACCAGCAGCGGGGCAGGGGGTGGCGCCATCGGAGCTCCTGCCAGGGAAGCGGCTTGGCCGCCCAGCTTCCAGCTTCCAGCTTCCAGCCTTGGCTTCCCCGGGAAGCCACGCCCTTGCCACGCCCCTTGGTCACTATCGCCCCGGAGGAGAAAGGAACAAAGTGGGCAGCGTGTGGCCGCTGAGGACTGCAGGGCTTCGGTGGAGACTAGTTACGCTCCATGGTTCATTCCACAGCCGCTCGCACACAGACACGACTCGGGTGAATCAACCCGAAAGATGCCTTCAGAAAACATGGCGACGGCCTGGCTTCAGCTGCTATTGACAGCACTAAGGCGCCATTTCTGCAGCTTGGCAAATATGGCGCCTTTCGGGCTTCCACTACCCGCAGCGCCCCATTTGCCCTTAAATACAATGGTCGCGTCAGGAGGGTTGGTGTGCAGTCGCAGCGGCAGATGATTGGCTGTGCTGCAATTGGCTACGGAATGGCGGGACATCTCAAAGGATTCTGAGGACCTGAACATCCCTGGTACCCGAGGTTGAGGTTGGGTCTTCCCGGTGTCCCTAAGAGCTTCCTGCTGATGGCAAATCCTGGGCATTACATAATAGAAGCCAAATTCGTGTCCACAGAGGAACTCTCTATGTAGATCAGACTGTACTTGAACTCACAGAGATCTGCTTGCCTCTCTGCTTCTGTTTCTGGGATTAAAGGAGAGTTCCACTACTCCTGGATGTTAACAGTTTTTTAAGAGATGGAGTGGGCCCGGCGTTGGTGGCGCATGCCTTTAATCCCAGCACTCTGGAGGCAGAGGCAGGTGGATCTTTGTGAGTTTGAGGCCAGCCTGGTCTCCAGAGCGAGTGCCAGGATAGGCTCCAAAGCTACACAGAGAAACCCTGTCTCGGAAAAAAAAAAAAAAAAAAAAAAAAAAATTAATTTAGCCTTTAATCCCAGCACTCTTGAAAGTTGGCCTCTAACCTTCATATTCATGCCATGATGCACACATGAACACACACACACAGAGCGAGAGAGCGAAAGAGCGAGAGAGCAAGTGAAATTTAAGATTTTTACAAATGCAAAAGAAAGTTTGCCAGTTGAGCCCATTTTTTAAAATTTAGATCTGCTTATTTTATATGTATGAGTGTTCTGACTACATGTGTGTATGGGCAACATGTGTATGCCTGGTATCCACTGAGGCCAGAAGAGGGCTTTAGATTCCCTGGAACTGGCTTATGTTTTGTTTTGTTTTGTTTTTCCAAGACAGGGTTTTTCTGTGGCTTTTGGAGGCTGTCATGGAACTAGCTCTTGTAGACCAGGCTGCTCTCAAACTCACAGAGATCTGCCTGCCTCTGCCTCCCGAGTGCTAGAATTAAAAGCATGCACCACCACCGACCCGCTTCTGTAATTGGCTTATGAGCTACCATGTGAACTGGCTAATGACCTAACATGTGTGTGTTTGGAACCTAACTTGAGTACCCTGGAAAAGCAGCCAGCTCTCTTTACCTCTGAGTCTTCTTTCCAGCCCCTAATGTAGACATTTATATATTTACAATGCAATAACATTTTGTATTTGTCTAATGCTGTGCAACTGTCATCACTATATATTTCTAAAATGCTTTCCTTAGCCCCAAAGGAAACTCTAATGTACTGTCCGTCTAAACTTGCTCGTGCTGGGTATATTACATGAAGGGAATTGTGATATATTTTTTTCTTTTGTATCTTCCATGTTTCACTTACATGTTTTTGAAGTCCACCCATGTTTTGTCACATATTACAATTGTACTCCTCTTTAGAAATATTGTATTAAGATATTGACGGGAAGGGGTTAGATGGCTCAGCAGATAAAAGTTCTTTCATGCCAGCTTGTTGACATGAGTTCAATCCCTGGAACTCATGTAACAGAAGCGGAAGGAGAAGTCAAATGTGTTGGTGCATGATTTAATCCCAGCACCCTGGAAGTAGGGACAGGAAGATGTTTATGGGTTCAAAGCCAGCCTGGCCTTAAATCTGAGTTCCAGGCCAGGCTACATAGTGAGTCCTTGTCTCAACAACAACAAAAAAGAGAGAGAACCAACTCTACAAAGTTGTTCTTTGACCTCCACACATATCCTCAGATATACTGAGGACACCCACACAACAAATAAAAATGAAAAGATAGCTGTTCAGGACTTGGGATATAGCTTAATAGAGAACTTGCATAGTAAGCCCAAAGTGTTGGTTCAATCCCCAGCCCCACACGAATCAAGTGTGATGGCACACTCATGTAATCAGAGCACCCGGTGTGTGGAAGCGGAAGGATGAGGAGTTCAGGATAATCCTAAAGTTTGATCCCCAGCACCAACATGGTAGCTCACAGCCATCTGTAACTCCAGTTCCTCGAGATCCAACCCCCCCCTTATGCCTCCATGGGCACTGCACATACATGGTGCATTTACATACATGCAAACAAAACACTCATACACATAAAATCAATCTCAAGAGATGACATAAAGCTTGACTGTGGCACTGTAATTAGAGTGGGGCTTCTGGAGGTCAGTGATCAATTAGCTTTAGCTCAGGTCTGGCTCACAGTTTCAGAATGCAAATTAAGATTGACAGCATGCTTGTGGTGTTTCCTATACACTAGAACTTGGGGAGCTGAGGCAAGGAGGAACACCTCAAGTTGAAAGCCAGCTGGGGCTACAAAATGAGTTCAAGGCCACATAGGCTACCAAAGCAAACCCCTGACTCAAACAAAAAAACCTCAATAGCAAAAAAAGCCAGCCAGACACTTAACACCAAACCTGACAACCTGAGTTTAATTCCTGGAATCCACATGATGAAAAGAGAGAATGGATTCTTATAAGTTGTCCTCTGACTTCCATATGTATGCCACGGCATACACACATACATAAGTTGTAGAAAGGAATGGGCATACTTAGCATCTAGCAGAGTCTCTAACCTCTAGTAGCCGTTAGAGCTACTTCTATCTAAGAGAATATTAAGTCAAAAGCAGTTATAGTATCCCTGCAGGGACTGCAAAGATGAGTGCCACCAACCACAGAGCTGAGGGTGTGAATTTGGACCTGTTCCATTCATTATATCTCTCTTATCTGGCCTGCTTGGAATCTGGCAAATTACTAGTTTGTTATCATGCTTTTTTAATATTTATTTTTATTTTATGTGTATGGGTGTTTTGCATGCACCATGTGGGTACAGTGCCCTTGAAGACCAAAAGAGGGCATCAGATTCCTCTGGAATTGGAATCACAGACCATTGTAAGGGGCAATGTGGGTGCTGGGAGTCCAAACCAGATTCTCTGGAAGAACAGCCAGGGCTCTTAACTGCTGAACTATCTCTCTAACCCATGACTTATTTGAAATTTCACCAAGAAGTAACTCCAATGGCAGCTGCTGTGTCAAACATGGTTACACTACTGAGCAAATTAATACAGTTTTTAGTAACTGATTTTTTTTCTCCATCTCTGTCTATAATGTTGATGAGATGCAGTCCATTTTTAGTTAGCTGTTGTAGAATATTACTTTAAGATGTGTTACATTTGTTTATGCCGTGGAACATTTGTTTAATGATGCAAAGATGTGTTGCATTCTTTTTTGGTTTTTATTTTGTTTTGTTTTCGAGACAGGGTTTCTCTGTATTGTTTTGGAGGTTGTCCTACAACTCTCTCTGTAGACCAGGCTGGCCTGGAACTCAGAGATCTGCCTGCCTCTGCCTCTGGAGTGCTGGGATTAAAAGCGTGCGCCAACAACACCTGGCTGTGTTGCATTCTTTTAGGTTGCATTTGTTTAACGGTGTATCTGTGTTACTTTGCCTGTCTGAAATATCTGATTGGTCTAGTAAAGAGCTAAATATCCAATATCAAGGCAGGAGAAAGGATAGGTGGGGCTGGAAGGCAGAGAGAATAAATAGGAGGAAAAATCTGGGAAGAAAGATCAAGGAGCAAAAGGAGGAGAAAGAAAGGACTCCAGGGGCAGTTACACAGCTACACAGCAAGCCATGGAGTAAGAAGTAAAGAAAGAAATTCAGCATAGGCAAAGGTAGATGGAATAATTTAAGTTAAGAAACACTGACTAGAAATAAGTCAAGCAGAGGCCAGGCTTTCATAAGAAAGAATAAGCCTCCATGTGATTTTTGGGGGGAGCTTGGAGGTGGGCCCCTCAAAAGAGCAAAGAACTAAAAGAGTGAAGAGTTTAAAAAAGAAAGAAGGAAGGAAGGAAGGAAACCAACTATAGTTGGCAATGCCAGCAATAGACTTGCATTGTACTCCTACCCTGTGACAGTTAAATTTGCTGTTGTTTTTAAACAAAATATCAATTGTTCAATTTTACCAATAAAGACTCAGGAGCCAGAGGGACAGGTGGGGCTGATTATCAGAGAGACCAAGTAGGAGAATGGATCTAGGAGACAGAAAAAGAAGAGAGAATGAGGGGGAGATGCCAGTCAGTCAGGCAGTCAACAGCCACCCCAGACATGGAAGAAGCAGGAAAAGTAGGATGCACTGGATGAAAGAAAGGTAAATATCCCCAAAGCAAAATGTAGATGAAGAGAAACTGGTTAAATTAAGATATAAGAGCTAGTGGGACAAGCATAAGATGAGGCCAAGCATTCATAACTAATAATAAGCCTTCACATCATTACTTGGGAGCTGGTTGGTGGCCCAAAAGAAAGCCTGCTATATATTTGGTGTTCCAACATAGGGCCTGAATTTCCACATAGGGCCTGAGAAAGCTAAAAAAAAAAAAAAAGAAAAGAAAAAATAAGAGATATAGAGAAGGATTCATCTCCTTCACCTCCTTTAGGAGGCTTTGCTATACAGTGAGCCCTTCAGAGCCAGTATGCTAAGTAGAAACAGCAAGCTGGTAAAATATTCCTAGAGCTGACACCTTAGTGAAGATACCATATATAAAGAGTCTTTTTTCCATGCTGCTAGCCAGTTCCCAAATAATGACACAGAGACTTCTTATTAATTATGGAAGCTTAGCTATACCTTAGGCTTGCTCCTAACTACCTCTTATAACTTAAATTAACCCATTTATTTTAATTTATGTTCTATCACATGGCATTACCTCTCCTGTACCTCCTGTTTCCTCTCTGTATCTTCTAAATTCCCCACCTTTCTCCTTCCCAGAGTCCTCTGTGTCACTGGAAGTCCTGCCAAACTTCTTCCTGCCTGGCTATTGGCCATTCAACTCTTTATTAAACCAATCAGAAGGTGCCTTGGCAAATATACATCTTCACAGTGTAAACAGATATTCCACAATGGGCACCGGGGATTTTACTGCAAGGGCAATAAACATTCTTAGCTGCTAACTCTCTGCAGTCCCAACTGCTGATTTTGAACAGGGCCCAGAGTAGGAAGCGCTACAAGTCTGTGCTACTGTGCTTGCTGTTCTGACACTTGAGCATATGATCCAGCAAATTCAATGGTGTCTAATGTGTCATGGGCAAGTGAAGATGCTATGTGGAGCCTTCATTTGTCCTCTATAAGCGAATTATAGTGGAGGCCCTTAGGATCTGGCAACAAAGCCCCATCATCTGCAAATTGCTCTCCTTTTAAAATGCCAC